CAACTACACCTCTCCCGGTGAACGCCTCCTCTTCTTTTGATATGCCACCCGGGAATCGCATTTCCACCTCTATTGATGCAACTTACTGTATTTGATTTGCTGGATTCCAGACGTTGCAGCAGGTTGGGCGGGTAATTTGACCCAAATGTGATTAAACTCGCGTCGTCCGGTGGGGCCTCGTAGCTCAATTGGTTAGAGCGTTGGCTGTACTAAAGCCTTCCCCTTACTGCGTGGGTTCGAATCCCACCGAGGCGCCGAGTTTTGCACAGTTGGGTCAATGTGAATTCTTCATAGGTTTATTGTGAACCAGGGCAAACATTGCTAGTTTGTTTACCCTAACGCCAGTCGGATAACATGTGCGATGAAGAACGAAACTGATAGTCTTCATGGAAGTTGAAACCCGAAACTCCGAAGTCTCCTCAGTTAGTTTCGGAATCAATGAGCAGTCACCACGACCTCAAATCTAGTCAATACAAATCTAGTGCAAAATAGGTTTGACCTTGAGTTAGAACTCGGACTGTAATTTGGCTTTAAGGGTTTGGCTTTGATATGAAATGTAGGAAATTAGGCGCATCAAGTAGAAATTATACATCCAACCAATATTTGCATTCTAGGATAGCTGAATGAAAAGCGGGAGGTGAACATTGATTACTGAGCAAGTTATAAATGTCTGAACTTTGCCTCTCACAAATTTATCCCGGAAACTTAATGACCGAAATGACATGGCTGACAACAATTGACATACATTGGTTTTTCTTGGTAATAAAACAATAATACCATCATCTAGTCAGTCTGGAAGATCATAATATTGAATAATGCTATAGATTATGAAGAGGATAACCTCGCACAACCAGAGAATAGGTGCCTTAGGTGGAAGTACAGAATAATGCAAAAGCTTTATTTTCGCGGCCACAACGGTTCACGGTTGAAATATTCAGCGTGAATTTGGGAGATCAACACAGGCGAGTTTTGGGAAGCAGTTCAGAAGCAGAGCATGCGATCGCTGAAACAATAGTTAGTCGGCCAGACTGTATTAATTCACACTCACACTCGTCATCAGAGACAGTCGCAGATAAGGGTGATGGAGACACAAGGATCGCAGTAGTTATAATGCCCAGTTACCATGCAACAACAGGCCTACTATATTTAACAGCGTCCTTGCTATCGCCGGAGGTCGTATTTGGTGGTGAGGTTACCTGTTAGACCGCACCCCAGCCCTTAATGGCTGTGATTACATCACCGTTGTTGACCTTTAACGTGACGATTACTTTGCCGCTTTTCTCGCTGTTACTAGAACTGTTGGTCGTCCGTGTCCTCCCCAGGCTGTTTCAGCATTCAATATCGAGGCAGGAGGTCATCGGGCTTGTTAATGGACTGACGGCCGGAGAACCATAACTCAAGCCGCACGCGGCTCACTTGGCTGTCACCTCCTGAAAGAATTTCGGCCCAGTCGAGCTAGAAGATCCGGCCGGATCCCATCGAATGAGCCGCAACCTGAGAGTTGGCGTAATTCCTTCTTTTCGCTACCCATTCTCGAGCATCCACTTTCGGAATAATCTCCCAGTTTCTCCGGCGTAGTTGTTTTGCTCGCGACTGCATATGATCCGGCAAACGACATTTTCCGATGTGGCAGTGCAGCATACGACCTCATTACCTGGCGTTTAGTGGTTGCCGCCGGCCAGTGCGCAATCCCAGTTCCAAGTGGTATGGTTGGTCGACTGACGGCTTTCGAGACGTTCTTGACGCAGGGGAACACTCGCCAAATTTTCCGGCCGGTTGGATTGGCCCTCTCGTCTTGTATGCGCATGCACCGATTGTCGAATTTGCGTGAGTAATCACTCGCTTTAAGTACCCGTCGAAGATATGTACCCCGTCTTTCGGTTCACTGCAGTGTGTCACAGCACGCCGGTCCAGCACCCATACACAAGTGAATTTGTGGTCGATTGGGTGGTTGCTGCTGAAGCTCAGTGTTTGCGTAGTATTAGTCGCTTTTCTGAACACTTTATGCCTTTGCGGTAGGCGAGGACATCGAGGAAAACAACTTGGTTGGTTGTGAATGGTATGTCGAGACTTCTGACCTCTTTTTAAATGATCTGCAAATAAAGCTAAAAGTATTCATGTCAGGTAATCTCCGATCTTAGTGAACTCAAATATTCCAAAATACCTATGAAATCTCAATTTGTTGAACTATGTGATTTAACATAGTTCGAGGTCACCGTATTTTAAAATAATGTGGGAGACTGTTTGGTTGGACAGTACCAAGTTACCGCAAACTTATGCACTAAAGAGACTTTCTTGTATCAAGTTTGTCCGAAATTCAAGTCAAAAAGCTCGTCTACTCTCGTTACTGCCATTATTAAAGTGGTTTCCTCACCTTTGATATCAGCAATCCAGGAATGCCCCCATCGCGAACTTTGTTATACTTAACGGGCGTGTACGATAAAAATTTCAGAATTTCGGCTGCAATGTAATAAAAGCCAGAAAACCGGTATCGACTGGAAAAGGGGTCACTGTCTAAGTCCACTAAAGCATCCGCCCTCATAAAAAGACGGCTACAACAGAGATGACTAAACAGTGCACAAATAAGAAAATGGCGCCATTATTGGTAAAATCTGTCATAACTAATCGGCGCAATCCATGAAACAGGACAAATAAGTTCTTATTCGCATAAAACCTAATGGTATGATCTCCAGCAGAATTATTTAAAATTACTATTATCGAAATAAAGCAGTGGGTCTTTTCTGGTACGTTTTCCATCCCTGGCCATACCCTATCCCATCCAATAGAACCGACCTTCGGGCTTAGTTTCTAATTGAATCAGGTGCTCTGCCACTTGATTCATATGCGCACGATCGACAACGATAGAGATTGGCCAAAATCATATGACTATGGCATCCACTGGTTTAGGATGATTGCAGGACGAAATAGAAAAGTCGAGCTTGGCCTAGGCGCTGCCGTCGTCAATGTTGGAACTGTCTGCAAGGTATCTGATCAGTACTCGATGGCAAAATGGAGCGTCCCTGTCCTGTTCATTTGTTAGAATAGATCGATGTATGGCCAGTCATGTGACTTGGAGTACTCCCGTCTCCGCCGAAAGGGTGTCCGCTCATGACCCAAATGGTAAGTAACATGGTTTAAAGGCCGCCTGAACCTTGTCTTAGACCCGCCCGCTGTGCCTGCATTAGCGAACTTCGCCACCTACGGCAGTCAAACTATCCTGCCGACTTTAAACCTCGGACCCTATCGCTGTGTCTTCAAGATATGACTGGCTGACGATGCCAAGCCAGAGGCAGCCAAAACAGTTTCCCTCGACATTTTTCCCAATACCGGCTGATCACCAATTAGGCACTGCACACTGGGCAACTTTTAGGGCTCTATAGGGGGAGCCGAACGGTAAAAAACGGTAGCAAGTTAAGAGAAATCTCACCCTTCCAGACGACAACAGTGAAACCCCGTCCCCTAGTCTCTCCTCCAAATAATTACTAATGAGATAGTTTCTGGGAATTAGGTATCAGGCATGCCGACCAAATTAAACTGGTAGTCACCATCAGGCTAGTCCATAGACTTTGAAAGTGAGGAAAAACATCATTTCTGGACGAACTACCCCTTCAACAATGTCACACAAGGTAAACTTGGCAATTTGCAGTGCAGAACCCAACGCCATCTGCAATTTCGGGATCGACAGGACCCCTACGATAATACCGTCGGAGCCTAATCAGTGACCTTACTGAATAAAGCTAATTCACGTTTAGTACACACTCGGGCGGCAATAAAAGGTAAATAAAGTGTCCTGTTATGACCCTGTCACTTTAAAATTTCTTAGACGTTCGCATCAACGCGAGGCTTGTAAGAGAATTAGGCTCCTCCTTCCCCCTAAGACAGGAATGCACAACGTATACGTTAGTCAATATATAAGTATATGAACGCAAATGAGAAATTACAATCTGAAATAGCACAGAAAAGTTTCGCGTAATGCAAAACAGGTCCATCTATGTACAGATAGGGTTTGTACAATCTCTGCGCCGTAACTACAGATCCAGTCTCCGACTCTTGGGGTTCGAAGCGCCGTTCATAGGACCGTTGAAGGGCCGCTTAGCACCGAATTCGGAACCGGCACCGCCATTCCGATCGCCTGAAAACCCACCGCGGCCTCCACCAGTGCTGAAACGACGAGGACCGCCGCTGCCAAAGCCGAAACGGCGGGCACCACCGAAGTTGTTTCGGCCACGCCAACCGCCACCACCACCACGGTCGCCTCGAAAGCCACGGCCGCCTCCAGAAAAGCGCCGGAAACCGCCGGCACCGCCGCCGTTATTGAGCTCATCTGCCTCAGGTTCCAGTTCTGGTAAGTCAGTCAACTTCTCCAATATTAAACCGCCTCGATTTTGCCAGTTCTCTTCAATCGCAGCGTTATGAACATCAGGTACGTCAAATACGAAACCCTTGGACGGCAATACAAAAACTACTTAAGGGAAACGACTATGAGCGACAAAGGAGAGGTAGGGGGAGTGATCAATTAGGATGTGCAGGTGCAAGGACCAAGGTCAAGGCTGAGGGCTGAAAGCACGCAATCAACTGGCGTTGGGCTTCTAAAGGCTTTCGTGGGGGAAACAGCGTCACGAGGTCAGCATTTATGAATTCCGACCGCATTTGACTTTAAGCGGAAATACAGCAAAAGGTCACACTGTGATCACCAGGTGAGGAAAAGGGGTAATAAGCTCAAAAAAAGCAGAAAGGACATTTTAACTTTACATACGGTAAAGTCTAAATTGACAAAGCTCGCCACTAAACGTGGCGCCAACCTGAACGCGTAGGCCATATTTTAAACACAACCTACGATGGCAATACGGACAGTTTTTCGAGAAACATAAAATCTGTTTCTAAATCCGCATACCGTTGAATGTGAGTCATCCAAACTGTTTGAAGGAGTCAACCCAGCCTTTAAGTAGTTTATTCTAGCCGTATGAGGCATCTGGCCAACTCCCAGGTACTTTAAAGTACTCCAGGTTGGTGTATGCCATACACCGAACGACTGCAACAACTGCCCGCGGCCCATGATAAAGCAGTAAATCTAAGTTAAACTAACTCACAGAAGGCCCTTTAGACGACAGATTTGTCCGGGGCTATCAAAGAGAACTCAGTTTAGTATAAAACTGGACAAAGCGACCGAAAACTGGCCTTAAACCCCTTAAGTTGCCTTGTCATTAAATAAGGACTGCCATCAGTGCAAAATAGCGCTTTACTCTACCGAGGCAGGTGTGATTATTGTGCAAACGCGGATGACAGTTCGCCTTTACGTGCAGCAATTGGGACAAAGATATTCAACCGTAAGAACCGGAAATATCTAATGGTGTACAGCTAGTCCATGACAGATCTAGACACAATGGGTACCATCCTCACATAGCGTAGTTCCTTTTAAGTATTCAACAATGAACTGCTTTTAGTTTTCCGATCAGCTTATCTAATGCTGACACAAAATACAGTAGGTTAAATTAAAGAAAGTCACGCTCCAAATCAATTCTAAAAACCGTTAGCATAATAAGATTACAGCTATTTGGAGGTCTGTTCAGCATTTAAAGTGATGTCCGGTGCGAAGAACTTACGGTTCTGCCTTTAATGAAGGCAAGACTTTTGATGTTTTCTGTGATCTCAGAAGAAAGCTGCTGGTTAAGAAGCGAGTAGGCAAGTCCCTTGCGGTGAGCAGTAACGTGTGGAGGGACCGTGAGTTTATATGCAGTCAAGCCGGCTTTGGCAGTAAACAGAGATCTCGATTCAATGGCTTTCATCTTGCCAGATATTCTAGCCAGCGCACAACAAAGAGCTCGCTCATATTCGGTAACAGATGTCGTCAGGTCTGTCTGAGAATCCTCGGATTTACCCTTCCTGGACTTTTTGGACTTTTTGATCTTCATGTCCCCGTCTTCTCCGCCTTCTTCGGTAGTAGAGATCGACATTTCTGTTGTGGAGTATTCCTGTTCAATATTTTTGAGCTTTCTGGACTTCTTTGATGGCTTGACTCCTTCATCTGCTAGACTTTTCTCACCATCATGCATGTTGTTGGCTTCGGAACTGGATTTCAAGGCATTAACTATGTTCCGGGCCGCAGGCAAAAAAACGGACCAGGTTGACTCCGGCAGTTCGACGAAAGACCTACAGAGAAGGGCACGCATGGCAAGGGTGGTGAAACAAGTCTGCGTTATTAAACGTTTTGCGAAACCGGTATAGTCAAGACAAATAGCCGCCATTCCTAGAGAACTGCAGATACGTTTGGACAAAGGTAATGAACTGACGAAAACTATGCAACGTTGTGTAGTGCAGTCACACCTTGTGTGTGAATCTGGCCAGCAACTTCCCCTAAACTCAATATGAACTAAAAATATAGACACCAGAGACGTCCACGAAGCCACATATCAGTATCAATAAAGTTGGCAGATATACAGGAACATGTATGCCGCTCACGCAAGACATTGTCAATCTTGGTATAGAGAGGACACCTGTATACCAACGCACCACCGACGATCACATTACCAATGTCCCGCAGCCGTCGATCATTGCAACCTCCATTATCTCCACCACAACCTCCGTGACGACGGCGAAGACTACCAACTCCTCCCACTCCCTCTACCGGTGATAAAACTCCCGACGCCTCGTCAATCACTACCATACTATCGCCGTGCCAAACCACCTAGAATGTGGACTCAGTCCCAACCTGTCCTCATTGTGTTCGCGCATTCACCTCACTTATCAGTTTGATCGGTGGCTTGCGAATCCATCGCACTGCGAACGGCGCACCAGTGCCAGGAAGCCCGACATACGTTCACCATATCCGCCTTCACTGCCACACTGTCCAGCATACTCTTACGCCGCGTGGGCCTCCTCGTTCACATGCGTATCCATGACAGCGAAATACGCCCCAATACCGACACACATTGCAAACCTTGCATACCTAACAATTCTCCCAACCCCAGCCCTACCAACTCCCCATCGGCCGGCGCGGTCACCAATAGCAACACAACGACCCAAATCGACCAGCGCCAAACCTTTGCTGCTCGCACTGTCTTAACGCATTTAGCCATCGCATGGACCTACTCGGCCACATGCGCCTTCGCGAAAATCTGCGGCAAATAATCGCAGACTAAAGACACATCACACATTGGCAGAATGCTATTACCGACAAAGACAAGGGAGACTGGAATGGCCATTTCGATCGAGAGAGGGAGAGCCCGTAAGGCACAACGGAACGAGTGAGTTCTGTAAGAACGATCGGTGAGTGCCCCCTTCCAACATCACACATTTGCCCATCAATACACGCACCACACATTAACACCCCTAACATCACACAACAAATCCCTCACGTAAGTGAGTTTGTCCTCCGGCTTCTCCATGTGGTTCCTCTGCCGCATGTGAGATCACAAATTTCTTCCTGGTGTGCGCATGTGGGGGGCAGGTTGTTCGTGTGGCACAAGCAGGAGAGCTGTTCTTAGCTGTCAGCCACCGCTCTCAGCGTGGACGGTCGTGGACTGTCAACAGATGCACGGGAAAGGATAGATGCAGTGACGTCGACTCTCGGCAGATAATCCCTCACTCACGGTGCGCCAAAAGCCGTGGTTTGGGAGGCTGCCAACTGACAATTCAACCTAGACCACGCGGTCAGACCAGCGTGTTTGCGCGTTGAGTAGCCGGTTAGTGGACTGAGAGTCAGACTACAATGGTCCTTTCTTAATGGTACTCTCCCACACATGGCAGATCCGACAGACAACTGACTGGTTCAAACGGCGGACTGGTGCCCGGGAGTGGAAAGAGCGAGTTCAATAATCTCAGCGCATATATGTCAATATAAACAATCTGACGCGCTCAAATCTATCAAGACGCGCTGAAATCCGTGGCTTGAAAAGCTGCAAACTGACAGGATAACTCGGACCTCGCAGTCTGCTCAGTATATTTGTGTGGAGTGGCTGAGTGGTGGACTATGTCGGACGGCAACTGCTCCTTAATGTTACGTTTATGGCACTCCCGCTCAGTGGGGTCCGAGCCAGTGTTGTAGCACACCTAGATGAGTGTTTCTGCCGCGCCAGTTGCCAACGCATTCTCCCGTCATCGGTTTTTTTGACTCTGTTACGACACCGGGCACAGATGGGAGGAGGGGGGGGGGGGATGAAGTGCGGTAGGCGCAACCCAAGTTCCCTATCACTATAAACGTGTAATTCACCGTCCCTACCCCCACATGCCGGAATTTACGGTCTAACTGTTATACCGACACAATGTTAGTATTCCCCAGTATCTACAAGCAAACCAAACATTAAAATGGGTGCAAACTTCATGCTGGTGTTAGACATGTAGATTACCGGTAGAAGCGAAGAGGAATGTTCTGGGGAGCAGTTCAGATGGTGATATCGCTGAGAAAGGTGGTTAATCGGTCTGACGTTTCGAACTCTCGAACACCTCATCAGAAGCAGTCGCCGCAAAAAGAACTGTTTCTGATGATGGGTTCGAGTGGAAATCGGAAACGTCAGGCCAACAAACTCCTCGTTCCACTGATCGCTCCTTCTTCCAAACCAACAGTCAAAAACTGCTGAAGAGCAACCAAATCAAATCTTAACAGCTACTCTACGCCAATGAAATGTCGCGGCAAAAGCATCAGGAAGAAGCGTGTTGTGCCCTTCCGAGTCGTCGTTCTATCCCTTTTTATGGCCGGTTGACACAAAATAATTTTGTCTCTAATCGGTGATTATAAAAACCTTGACGGAAAACTGGTTACTGCCGGCCCGTGGGGTCGAAATAGTTGTTTTGGAGATGTCGTCAGCCAAGAAAAATCCAACAGTCGGAGACAATTTCAGTTGACGACCCATATGCGAATAATAGTCTTCGGGAATTATGACCGCATACAACTTTAGACACTGGCATCCCGAAAATTAGACATTTAGCGGGCGGCAAAAGAAATAGAGCCTCTTAAACAGCTCACAGGCAGTAAGTATAAAGACCAAAACATACTGTGATAGTTCTCTTGCCCAAACCTCGACAATATCTGTTGGGGATGGAGCTGAAATCCTGCGGAAGCAAATGCCGGTGCCATTTTCGATTTGAGCCAGTTGCTGGCGCTGCCTCATACTATAGAAGCAAATACTGACACCATTTCTGCCTGCCCGCCCTGTTCGTCCCGACCGATGAATGTAGTCTTCCGATGAGGATGGTGGCGCACACTGGATAACGAGTTCGACGTCGGGAATGTCCAAGCCGCGGGCAGCGACATTTGTGGTTATGAGTGTCTTGTACTTACCCTCGCGAAATTTCTGAGGCGGATAAAAATATTGGCTGGTGACGAAGGTTGGGTGGAAAACAAGTTGCAAAAAACTAAGTAGTTAACGAGGAACTTCGCAGAAATACTGCAAATTACGAAAAAAACACCTGCAGTATAAGTTCGCGTTTGTCTTGGGGAATATCACCATGGAAAACATGGCAATCGGCAGACATTGCAGAATGCGAGGCAAGCTCGTCAGCATCCTTTTTTCGTTCGCAAAACACAATACATCTGGAGGACGGTCCATGAGAATATACC